GGAATCATGGAAAGAAATTTGCTTCTCTTCTTTCCAAATGGGCGACAGACATGGAGACAAACTAGGAGATGATTGTTGGATACACCCCAAGGGGAGAGGTGGGGGGCTATGGAGACGGAATGTTGCATACACTGTCGGAAATACTCATTGCATCAGTCTGTTTTGCTTAACTGTTTTTCTTTTTCAGTGGTGAGGGTGACAGGGGGAAAAGATTATGGTATAATAAACCAAAAAGCACTTCCAAAATTCTTTAGAAAAAAAGTGATTTCAGCTTCAAAGCAAGATAATACTCATTTATACCTTCCTTTAATGACAATGCTACCGCATGTACTATGTGCCAGGCACTGTGCCAATTACAATTATTTTCAGTGGATCCTCACAACATCCCTAGGTGCTATTATTATCCCCATTTTACAGATGAGGAAACTGAGGCAGCCAGCGGTTAAGAGCCTTGCCCAGGGTCACACAGCTAAGTATAATAAACATATTAATCATAATAATAGCTAGCATTTATATAGTGCTTTCAAGTTTGCAAAGTGCTTTACAAATATGATCTCATTTCATCCTCACAATTGCCCTATGAGATAGGTACTATTATCATTCTCATTTTATAAATGAGGAAACTGAGGCAGACAGAGGTTAAGGGACTTCCGCGGGGTCACACAGTTAGGAAGTGTCTGAGGCTGGATTTGAACCACGGTCACCTTAAGCTGTCCACACCTGCTCTCATGCCCCTGGCCCTTGGTGTCCCTGAAAAAACCTTGGGACTTGTCACTCACATTCAAGGTGGCCCGAGCTCCAAGGCTTCCCAAGGACCCAGAGGCCTTCGAAGGCCAGGAGTCCTGCCTCTGCCCCCTGCACCTTCTGGAAAGCCAAGGCAGGCGGTCGGTGGACACCCACATCCAACTAAGTGGGGCGTGATGGAAAGATCAAGGGGCCCCGGGCTCACCCCAGGCAGAGCCTCAGTTTCCCCCTCTAAAATGAGGGGACTGGCCTCCAGGGCATCACTAAGCTCTCGGTAGTTGGTGAGTGCCTACACCCAAGCAGCCTCAGGAACCGCTGGCTGGGCCCAGAAGCCTGGGGTCCGTTCTTGGGGGCTGGCTTGGGTGAGGCGTCTCCACTCGCTGCCTGACACAGCCAAGCCAGTGCAGCTGAAACCAAACCCTTTGGGCTGGGATCACATTTTCCTCTAAGATGCCAGCTCTGACAGGCCACAGGCTCCCAGGCCTCCCCCTTGGCAACCAGGCAGGCACCTTGTCTAAACATGACCCCATCTCCACTGCTTCTCTTTCCCCTGCAGGCGGAATCCACTTTTCCCATCAGATTTCTGACTGATGCAACCAGGCTTTGGAAGAAAGCCTCCTGGCCAGCTCCGGGCTCCCAGGGATGAGGCACTTGTTCCACCTGGAGACGAACTTGGGACGAGGCGGCTGGTGTCAGCCGTTCCGGAGGCCGGGAGCAGCTTTTGGGAGCCTCAGCACTATTCCTCCCATATAATTAACACGTACAATAGGGGCCTTTTATTCAACAGCCCAAACTGGAAGGTGGAAAAGGCTGGTTAGCTAGCTTGTCCAAGGTCACTGCCAAGCCAGGTCGGAGAAGAAGGTGATGACTGCAGGTACGAGCTAAATGTGTGCAATTCACAGGGAACAGAGACAATCTAGGGTGTGCTCTACTGGGAATAGGGTTTTAAGAAATAAGGCACAGTTGGATCTGCAGGAGGGGACTGAGCAATCCTTGACAGATCAACTCGGCAAGGCGGGTCTAGAACTACAAAGGGGAAGATTTCGCTGAATTGATTTTAGGAAATGGAAAATCTCTTCTTTGTCGACCCTGGTGAACGCCAGTATTTCACTGGGGGCACCAGACGCAGAACAGCACTCTGATAACTGAACATGAGAGTCATGAGGGGAACAAGGAAGACGGAGGACGGGGCAAGGTCTGATAGAAACATGAAGACGAGCTGGTCAAACAGTGAGTGTGAGGATACATGAGGGCCAGCCCAGCCCACGCGCCCCTCTGATGTCCCTCTGATGTCAGGGGAATCAGAGAAGGCATCTTGGACATCGAGTAGAGCCCCTGGGATAAGCTCTGAGGACATGACCAAGGTGCCCCTGACACGGGCCATGATCTGAAGAGTGAGGTCACAGATTACTGACCGGCAACCTCTGCCTAGGACACTCTTACCCTATTGACAAAAGTCATCTTTAATATTGGTGTCCCATTATCTGCCGTCTTATCATCAGTCAAGAGAAAAATCATTGATAGACACTTGGAAAAGGTCCCATCCCTAAGGCTTTGGCCACAGCCTGCTACGGCCTCTGTCAGCTGTGGCTCATGCTAGGCCGAAGGAAGCCTAAATTCATGGCATGAGGAGAGAACACTGAACTTGGCTTCAGAAGAACCAGGTTCTAACCGCTAACTAGCTGCGTGACCTTGGACAAGTCATATGAGTCCGTTTTCTCATCTGTAAAACAGGCATAGGAACATGCCTTGCGGTGGGACAGCCACCTACCAATGGTAAAGAACAGAGAAACGTGAGCTCTTACAAATGGAATCTAATCCAATTTTTGTGGGTCAAATCCGGTATACATGGGGTGTCCCAAAAGTCTGAGTACATTTTAAGAGGTTTAATGGTGGCATTAAACTTTTGGGGTCCCCTCTATGTGTGTGTGCATACACATGTACACAGATGTACTCACATAGATACATACACATATACACAGATACACTCAGATACATACATATATGTAAGATATAAATATAAACATACACACACATACATACATCTTTTGTTTTGGTGAGGGGTGGTCTAACTCCCCGATAAACTGTAGCATAAGACTGCCGAGGCCTTGCAGATGGTTGGATTCACCGGCAAGTTGGCCTCAAAGACTTGATCCCTCTGTTTCTAGGCAATTCTCGCTGGGCTGACAGAAAAAGCCTTTTCCAGGCAAAAAGCTCTGCTCGTGTGATCTGAGTAATTTCCTTAAGTCTCAATCAAACAATAAACATTTATGAAGTACCTACTATGTGTCAGGCACTCTGCTAAGCACTGAGGATATGAAAGGAGGCAAAAGAGAGTCCCTGCCCTCAGGGGCTTATAATCTACCCACCCGGACTCAGGATGGCGGATGATGTTTCTGTGTGAATCCAGATGGAGACGCCCAGCTCTTACTCATCCTTGAACCTCGCAGTACCATGCAAAGAGTTTGGTTCAAAGGCCAAAGAACCCGGGTTCGAATCCCACCTTTGTCTTTTGTTACCTATGTGACTGTGGGCAAACAATTTCATCTCCCAGGGCCTCAGTTTCCTCATCTGTAAAATATAGGGCGGATGGGCTCGATGGTGTCCAAAGTCCCTTCCAGCCCTGGACCATGATTCTGTGATCTGCTGGGTGGTTCAGGGAAGCCAGACCCTGGCAGGAACACATCTGCTTGGCCCTCACTGCTTGTCGAGCAGTGACCAGAGGCGCCCCTGGGGATCCCTGTCCTCGTGTGTTTTCTGCTCAGAAGTGAACAGAACTTTCAGAGCTGTGACAAATGGTCGTCCCTTAGGCACCGGAAGGCCCGACAGAACTTGCCCCCAGTCCCTCCAAAGGGCCCCTCCCCATGCCGCTGGTGGTGGCTCCTGCCAGGGCAGGGCCGGACACCCTCTGGACGCTGCCCTGGGTCCTGGTGTGGAAATCTGCAAGCAGGCTTTTGCCTCCGAGGCCAGGAAAAGCCCACGGCTTCTCCGACAGGGCCGGGCTGGCCGTGTTCTCCGGGAGGGGGTGGTTGGAAGCAGGCCTGCCCTCCCTCCCCAATCCTTTGGCACCCGATGTATTTTTAGCCATGTGGTAAATGAGACATGATAATCTTATTATCTGACTTGGAAGAGGGGGACAGCGGGCTTAGCCTCCCCATCAGTTTGGCATCTTAATTGGAGAGCCAGCCCGAGTCTGGGAGTTCACTGCCTACTACTTGGGCTTTTCTATTGACGTGTCTTAAGGGTTTCATTATACCCATTAGGGAGGAAAGAACTCTCCTTTGTTCCCTGACAAGTAGGGTCCCATCCGTGTCTCGGGAGCCCTAAGTGCTGTTTTCTTTGGGCCCTGCTGGGGCCCCGCTGCCAGGGCGAGCTGACTGACGGCCTGACAACAAGCTGCTGAAGGCAGGATTTCACTCGGCCCATCAACCCTCAATGTGGAGGATTAGCGCAGAGGAGAGCTTGACAATATTGACTTCAGCACACAATGGAAATATAATTAGGTACCTGACGTTGAGTGGAGAGAAATACTCCAACACTCATACCAATTAAAATAATTACACCAAATCTTCTGCATGCTACTTTGGAACAAAGCCTGTGGTTTCGCCTTTTTTTTTTCCCCACTCCCTCCTTCCCGGGCCTTCAGCTGACTTCATCCAGAGCCATGAGAAGCTTTCCCGGTCTGCCCGGGGGAGCTCAAGCAGGAACTTCTGTCCAGGGCCCAGACCTGGGGCGGGGGCATGTGGCAGCGGCACCCAGACCCAGGAGCATGTGCCAGTCCGGAGGCCGAGGCCAGAGTGAGACAGGCCAGGCAGGACCCAGGGCTGACTCATCGCCCGCCTTTCACTAGCTACCCACTGGTTGCAATGTTTGGCCTGGTGATGATTCTGATTTGGGGTTATTTGGAAAAAGGAATGGAGGATGGCTTCTACCGGTATCCAAGGCCCAGGACCAGAGCCTATGAGCTTGCAGGGTCAGACTCAGTGTCCTCTGGGCCAGATGGACGGAGGCCTTGCGCACAGGCTTGGCCAAAGGCCTCCACTCCAGACCACTCAGAATCATGGTAGTGTGCAGGCAGTCCCTGGTCAGAGGCGGGAGCTGCTTGTGGGATACAGGCCTTTTCCCTCTTCACTATGCCCACATTGCTGCTGCCCAACCCCCTGAGGCCATGGCGAGACCCCCATGCTGAGTTAACTCCCAGTTGGGTGGGCGCTGTTCTAAGCTGTGGATCTCCAGTATTCCAGAAGCGGCCAAAGTGGAGAATAAAATATCTTCTTTATTTATTAGTTAATTCAGATTCTCTCTCACACACACACGAGAAATACCAGGGGAGCTCAGACTCGCACGGCCCACTGGGTGGGTTTCTGTACAAGTCGTCATGGTCTGGCATTCAGACACAAACGTAGGCTGTGGGGAATCCATCCCATGCGGGACAGGCAGTTTCCCAGCTAAGGGCCATCCCTGAAGGAGCACACAGCAATCTGTCAGGAAGCAGCAGGGCAGACAGACAAGGGGAACACTCCTGGCCTTCCCTCCTTTGATCAGAGAAATCTCGGCTACATTAGCACCGGATTCCATCTGGGACCGAGACACAATCGTAATTCTGCTGCAGGAACGTGTCGTGACTGTCACAAACAGTAGGTTCTTAAGAAGAAGACAGGTCCATCGAAATCCTGTTAAAAGCAGCTCCCCGGCCCGCCCCGGTGCTGAGAGGAGGCTTAGCCCCTGTGCCCACAAGAGCCTGGGCCTCGGGGACAAGCACAGAACTGAAGGCTGGCTCACCCTGCGGGAGGCAGCTTAGCGCGGGCCCAGCATCTCCGCCGCTGAAACAAAGGTCCTGCTTCCGTTCCCACCGCCATCACAGATGCAGGTAGGCTGGGTAACGGGGATGTTTCAGGGCTGGAAAAACACTGCAAAAGAATAAAAATTTTATTTTCAGTCTGGCTCTTTTTTTTTTTTCCCAAGGCCCTCAACAAAACATTTGTGTTAGGCTGAATATTCTGATGGTGTTTCCTCAGGATGTCCTCTGTTTCTCTGTATCAAAGGCGATATGGGCACTTGGATGGGGGTGGCGGCAGCGGCGGGTGGGAAAGGGAGGTGGCGGGACCCCCTTTCCCAAGCGTTTTCACGCAGGGAGCAGCAGCAAACAGGCAGCCTTCCAGGCAGCCTCAGCTTCTTTCCTAACACGAGTCCCTTCCCTGGCAGGCAGCTCGGTCGACAGGATCTGAGGGCGGAATCTTATCTACCATATGCTGGGGCGCACACATCGAACCCTGCATTTCCTGAGGAATTCTGGTCTCGCCTAAGGGCACCCACAGCTCACTCACCTCGAAGTGACAGGCCTCCACTCTGGGAAGCCTGTGCGGGGGGGGGGGGGGGGGGAAGCTGCACCCTAACCAAAAATTCATGTTGCATAAAGAAGAAGGTGCTTGAAGATCTCAGAGCCATTTACCAAATGGCCTCGTCCTGTTTCTCTGTGGGCAAAGTTGCCCACTGATGAGGGAGATCGCCAGTCGGTGATCAGAGCCCAGAGAACAGAAGTGACCCAGAAGCGAGGCAGAGCTTGGGCAAGGAATTCTGGTCCAAGACCCATGGTCTCAGAACCCGCCTAGGTTCCTTAAAGAGAGTGATTCCTGGAGACATCGATCAATCAATCACCAAGCACCGTCCTAGGCACAGGGCAGAGAGGAAGAAGCCAGAAGAGGCCTTATAGACGTCCTGGTCCAACCCCCTCCTTGTGCCAGTGGAGACCCCAGGGCTGGGCTCACTGGAACAAGATTTGCTGAAGACCCAAACTCCCAGGACAACAAGGCCTAATGAATCCACCAAAGCCATTTCTTTTTGATGGCAGATACAGCTGGTCCGCGAAAGGAGGACGGACGAACCGGGCTGTCCCTGCCACTGGCTGAGGGAGGGGCGGGTGCCCTTGGTCTTGGCTCTCTGCCATCCTTGTGCTCACTTGCCCACCAGCCAGGCCCTGAAAGGAGGCCGTCCCAGCCGTGCCACGAGCGAGGCACTATCTCCCCCTTCTGGACAGTCTGGAGACCAGCCGGCACCGTCTGCCCTAGCTGAACCTGTCACCATCTGCCCCGGGATGGTCGCGTCTTTAATAACAATTCCCCAAATTTGAAATGCCTCTTGATGAAACATGAACCGAGGCTCCCCGCCCTGAGCCGGCTCCCCCTGAGGCTGGGTGCCAATGAGTCTGGGCTGGGGGGCCAGACTGCCCCATCCGCTCTCCCTGCCGCCGGAGTGGGAGGCTGGTCTCCTGGGCAGTGGCCAAGCTAGAAAGGCCTCGAGCCTGGGCCTGGAGTCTGCCTAAGCCTGCTCATCACTGGGGCTCAGGAAGGGATGCTCTTTGGCTATGGCACTTCGTGAAGACCCTTGGCCAGGCTGTGATGCCTTGGGGGAAGAGGGGAGCGCTGCTTGGCGGCTTGAGGGTCACCACTTGGGGAGAGCCCATTAGTGACTAAGCACTGGACGTCTCTTGGGAGGCTGCGGCCCACCAGACCGCCTGAGCAGCCCGAAGGAGGCCAGTGGCCAGCGGTCTGAGGCCTAGGAGCTCATGAGCTTGTCTCGGGAGGCAGGCAGCGGGAGGCCTCCGTGCCTCGCTGAGGGGAGTGAGGGCAGGCGCTGAGATGCTCAGAGAGGACACTGGTGACAAACACCCGAGGGCCCTCCTCCTCACCCCCACCCCCACGCCATCCCTCCAGGGCTCCAAGCCATCCCGTCTGACTGACCTCTGGGCAGCAGACTCCATGGGCACGTCTGGGCACGGGTTCCGGGGTGCGTGATGGCTTCGAACGACGTCACAGGTGCTGAAATGAGTGGACTGAGAGGCTCAGAGGCAGAGGAGCTGTAGCAGTGCTGACGGGGAGGGACGCTGGGTGCTCCTGGGCTCAAACAGGGATGGGCGCTTACCCTCAGCAGCCCGTGACGGTGGCCGGCAAGCCCGAGCGCTTGGTGATCCACAGCTTGGTCACCTCCTCAGCGCTGGTTGGGTGAATGCCCACTGTCCTCTTCATCTGAGAATACGTGGCCCCGCACCTGGAAGAGGGCAGAGCGAGATCTGGGGGCAGCCCTGGGGAGCGGCCGAGCGAGCTGGGGACTGTGAGTGTGATGGAATACCACTGTGCTGTGAGAAACGACGAGAAGGCGGGCTTCAGAGAAACCTGCAAAGACTGGTATGGACTGATGCAGAGTGGAGTGAGCAGAACCCGGAGAACGGTGCCCACGGAAACAGCCACGCTGTGTGATCACTAATATTGACAGACTTAACCCTTCTCAGCAGTGCAAGGACCTAAGACATCTCCAGAGGCCTCGTGATGGAAAATGCTGTCCACATCCAGAGAAAGAACGACGGAGTCTGAATGCAGATGGAAGCGGACTGTTTGCTACTTTTTTCCTTCTGTTTCATTTTGTTTTCTCTTTCTTGTGGTTCCTCCTATTGGTTCTAATTCTTCCTTACAACATGACTAATGTGAAAATATGTTTAATAGGAATGTATATGTAGAGCCTATATCAGATTGCACGCTGTCTTGGGGAGGGGGCGAAATTTGGAACTCAAAATCTTATGGAAGTGAATGCTGAAAACTAAAAATAAATTAATTAAAATAAATTTGGGGGGCAGGTCATCGACACAGGCTGTAGGACTGGAGAATTCCTAACGGTCCCAACTGTGGATGGGGTGGCAAGGCCAGTAGTGGGACAGCCTCCCCATCTGGGGGCCCTGCAGGGACTGAGGAATCATGGCGGGGGGACTGACTAGGTAAAGGGGGTACCGCGGGGCCTCGGGGGCTGCAGAGACAGCGCCGCCCACCAGCCACAGGGCAATGCAGCCTGGGCCCCTCACGGACTCTCTCGCCCTTTCCAGAAGGGCTACCTCCAACCTTCTCTCTCCTCAGGCTCCCAAGTCAGCTGCCACCCTGCTTTCTCTGGCAGGAGGTCCTTGTTTCTGCCTGGACTGGAGCGGTGGAGGCCCCCTATGTGGAGACCCCTCCTCTCCTCTCCCTGTTGCCCACGTGTCCACACCCAGCCTGGCTCCTGGGTGAAGCCAACTCTTCCAGAGCATCCATTCCTCCTCTCTCCCCTTTCATTTCTTCCTGTTTCCTGGGTCCTCCCCGATGCCCAGAAACATGCTCACATCTCCCTGACCCACAAACACCTGTCCCTCAGCCATCGTCCTGTCTCGTTCCTCCACCCGCTGTTACCTCCCCCTCACCTCTGCCTCCTCCCTGCCCAAAGCCTTCTGCTCCCACCCGGTCTGACGCCTCCTCTCTGGCCTCATGGCCTTGCCCAGCCTGGAGCTCCTGCTGAGCCCTGGGCTCTCCCCTGGCTTCTGGGTCACTCTTCTCGGCCAGCCTCCTTCCCCACCGCCTCTGCTGGCCTGTGTCCTAACCGCGGGTACCTCCAGGCCTCTGCCCTTGGCCCCCTCTCCATCTGGACTTTATCCCCGCCACTCTCATTGCTCCTGTGGATTTCTTTTTCACTGGCACGCAGGTGACTTCATAGGACCCTAGACCAGGAGCCCCAGGGCCTTCAGAGGCATCGAATCTGCTCTCATTTTATGGAGGAGGAAACGGGGGCCACAGAGGTGAAGGACTTCCCCCAGCCTGTCATCTTCCCCTCCTGGCCCCACTCCTGCTCGAGCCGGGTGCTCCTCCCGCCCTCCTGATCACCGGGCCCTCGGGATTCATACTGCGCCCCTCCCTCCCACAGGTTACAGACATTCAACAAGAGTCTCATGGCCGTCCTGTGTCTTTCCATCAGGGGTCAGCACAGCCTCGGCCTGAGAGGGAGTGTGGCGCCTGCTCACCCTCTGTCCTCCGGGTCCCTGGCTGGTCACGACGATCGATGCCCAGAAGTATTTCCTCCTCACGTTCCTGGAGTCCTGGGGTGAACCATTTCTGGGACTACCCCCTGCACCGCCTTTCTCTTCTTCACACCCAAGAACATTCTGTTCCTCCCAGTGCCCCCCGGCCTAAGGCCCCCCCCACCCCGCTTTCCTTCCACGCACAAGAAATGCTGCTAGAAACGAATATTTCCGGATGTCTGGGAGCTGACCTCCTCGGGGTCAAAGAGCACGAGTGGTTTTGGTCCCGTTCCTCATGTGACTTTAAAGCGTTTTTGGACCAATCCAGCCTCACCTCAGCCCCTCTGACGCCCGCCTTTCAACCCAAAGGGTCTTCGTTGAACCTCCAGGGCAGTTTTCACGTCCCTTCCACAAAGGGACCTAGAGGCCACTCAGTCCCATTCCTCCCTGAGAAAGGATCCCATGTACAGTCGAAAGACCCCGGAGGAGAGGGAAGCTGCCAGCTCCTGAGGCAGTCCTGTCCACGCCGGGAGGGCTCGCAGGGTCAGGAAGCCTTCCCTCGCTCGACTACCCCAAGGAGTCTGCAGTCTCGCCCTTCCCTGACACGGATGCTGGGTGACGTCCACCCCTGGCCCTCAGCTTTTCCCAGCCCCCCAGCCCCCCTTTCCCTCATGCTTTTTTGGGTGACCCCCTTTGCTTGTCATTCCTTTTCTTCCTTATATCAAGTCTCTATCTGTGTCTTTGCAATCTTCCCCACGCTCCTGGTTCTGGAAGGGAAAAGTGCCCCCTCTTCCACACCAGAGCCTGCAAATCCGTGACCCTGCCCCTCAGGCTTCCCTCCTCCAGGTGAAGCTTCTCCTGCTCCTTCACCTCTCATCATGGGGCACGAGCACAGGCCCTTTCCCAGCCTGGCCAGCCTCCTCCGGACACCAGCCGGCTCTTTAGACCACGTGCCCAGAACGTGTGCCTGGGACAGAAGGTGTGACAGGCACATCCTGAGCCCTTCCTAGGACAGTCTAAGGTCACAGCGGTGTCGCCCCGCTAACCCTACTGGACACAGAGCCAACGATGACCCCCTGGTGGGCATCAAAGCCAAACCACGGCCTCCCCTAGTTTGGAGCTCCGGCCATGTGGCCTTTGTGAGCCGCGACCTGCGCCCTCACATTTACCACCAGTGGATTTCATCTTGTTGGATTCGGGCTCATGTCTGGGCCTGTCAAGAGCTCTGGAAAGCCCGATGGTCAGTCAGGGAGCTTACCAACCTTTCCTCTACCATGGGGAGACGTCATGCACCCCTCCTCAGTTACCATCGTCTCCCCCATTGGGCAGGGGCGTTTTGTTCTGTGTGTGCACCTAGCACCAGGCCGGGCACACAGACTTGTTAACTGACTGATCCTATGTTCTCTGCCTTTCTAAACTACTAAGAAAACTGCCCAGAAGCACACGGTCCTTCCCTAGGCACAGGTCCTGAGGAGCGAAGGGGGCCCTGAAATACGGAAGGAGAGCGCGGCAGACTCCTGGCTAGCGGGGGTATTCTCCAGAAACAAATATCATTCATTTCTCACAATTCGGGCAAACCTGCCCTAGTCAGTCGTCATTAATCAGATCTTAAGGAACTGGGGGGAAGGGGGCTAAGTATGATACCTTTGTGTAAAACTGAGCTCCTTCTTTCAGTTTTTTGGATCAAACAAAATACTGTTTGTCAATTGCTTAGCTCAATGCCTAATAAATGCATATTCCCTCCCTCCCCTTCCCTGTGGGGGACAGGGTTCCCCAAATCCATCAGCCCAGAAACTTGAGTCTGTTCTGAGTCTCCAGCCTCAGCTGGCTGGGTCCTTCTTTGTCAGAATGGAGGCCCCTGGCTCTCAGGGGTTCATGGTGACAGTGGCAACCTTGGTGTCAGCCTTAGCGCCGCTCAGAACTCCCCAACTCAGGGGATACGCGAGCGTCAGCCTCCCCTGGGCACCGCACGCGGCTTCCTTCCCAGGATTCTACAAGTGAAGAGGGCCAGAAACAGCCCGGCCGGCGGCCGCTGCACTAGGGCCAAGCTCCTGCCCATGGAACGTTCTCAGCTGACCTTCAGAAAACCTCACCTGGGCTCCTGAGCACACATGCGGGGCAGGCCAGCTCTCCACTTTCATGGACTTCCTTCCAATGGTTATTTTGGACACAACTTCAAAACGATGACATCGTACAAAATGCCGTTCTAGAATCTGAACCCCTGGCAATTAACAGACTACAAACACATGTTGAAAATATGTGGTCTCAAGGTCCATTTCAATCAAACGTTCTGGAGCAGCTTCCCCCCACAACATGTTTGGGCGCATCTCTTCTAATCCCATTTCTGCTTCTCATTTACACCAGTCACTCAAGGAGTAAAAATCCACTCACGGCCACAGAACGACCCGGCAACGACACGCTGGACCGGCTGGTGCCCTTCAGGCAATGCCCATCTGTTGGGTTACTCTCTTGGGTTAGGACCTGATAGGATACAATCCCATGGACGGGATGGGATCTAGGATGGCGAGGGTGGAGGGCGATGGATTTGGCCCGTCCGGTGGCCTCCCCGTCCCAGACGGCGCAGACGTTTCCTGTGGCAGTTCCAGGGCCGTGGGGGGCCCCGCTCAGGGCCCAGGCACAAGAGGAGACTGGCCTGACCGGCGCTTGTCCCATCGCGGACCATTCACTTTGACTAAGGGATTTCTACTCTGCTATTGGGCACATTTTGAAAAACGTCAGTCATGTGTCTGGTGGCATTACTTCTGATTTTAATCATGTCCCCGGGGCCTCCCCACCAGCCAGAAAGCTGCCCACTAGGTACTGAGCTGTCTCCCATACGAGGGAAATCTCGGATCTCTGGGGACAACCCAAAGCTCTCTTGCTCTCTGCAGCATGGCGGATCCAGATGGTGTAGGGCTCTGCCACGCAACACAGATAGATGGGAATCTCTTCCTTATGCTCCATGAAGGAAGATCCACCCCCTCACCGTGACCCTAGGCATCAGAGTGGAAGAGAAAATGATGCGCTGTGCATAGCAGGGAACTGAAAGGGGGCCTTTTGGGGCCAGTCTGCCCAAGGGGGGCCCACAGCCATGGCCCCAGGGCAGCTTCCTTCCTCCCGATGGCGTGTGCATCTCGCACACAGGAGGCGTGCCATCACTGGCTGAGGATGGCTGGGTCAGGACGCCTTTTCAGTGACCCTACAACTCTCCCTGCCTGAAGCCAGCTAGGTTGACAATGCCTCGGAAGGCCCGAGGGGAAGACGTGCCTCTTCCAGGGGCCCCCCAAGGCAGCCACAGAGGGTAGGGGGGCACTCGAAAGGATTTTTTTGGAGGTTGTATAACATTTGGCTGGAGAAGAAAGCTGGGATCTTCTCAAACTAAATCTGTGGTATCTTAATAAAGTCCTGAAGTATTTTTGCTGAAAATATGTATAATACTACATAAAAGTAATGGAAAACATGGAGTCTTTTCAACTGTAGTGTTGCCAAAATTAAGCAGCTATGCTCTATAATCTCAGAATAATTTAGGAGGAGAACTTTATAAACTGAAGACATTCTTTTGTACTTACTTTATTCCAAGAGAAAATCCTTGAATAACTTCACCTGCGTTGGGGCCGAGGAAATGAAGGCCGAGAATCCGCTGGTCTCTCCCTCGCAAGCACACCATCTGAAAACAATACAGCCCCAATGAGGCCGGCCCACTCGCCTGCCTGTCACCCTCCCGCTGTCAATGACACACCGTCTGCGCTCTCACATTCGTGCATGGACTTTGGGGAGCCCCGTACGGCTCGAGAGTGAACTGTGACGGTGGGAATCAATCCCACAGGGGTGGGAGGAGGCTGGGGTGGGGACGGGGGAGCTGGGCAGACCCGGGCCTGAACAGGAGATGCTCTCTTCTTCTGACTCACTGGCAACGTTGAACAACTGATGGTGAGGGCAGGCAGCGGGGAGGACCAGGGCTAAGCTGGGAGAATTCCCCTTCCTGATCATTTCAGACCAAACCCTGCACCCGCTCCTGGCCACCCCCTGGAACTTAAGTGACACAGAAAGACTGGACGGAAGCAGCAGGACAGGATCTCTCCCAGAGTCTAGAATGAACACTGGCTCCTAAATCCTCTCTGAGGATGACGCTTGTGAATCACAGAGGACATGGACGGCTTCGGTCGCCTTGCTCCCAGGGATGGAGGGTCGATTGGAAGGGCCTTGGGAGATCAGCCTGTCTGACGGTCTCATTTTAACGAGGATGCTAAGGGCCAAGGTGGTCGCTCACGAGGTCACCCAGAAGCCACCTGGGTAGCAGCCCCCACACTCCACTGCCGTTTGAGCTGTGGTTGTGTTCTAATGGGACACCCTGAGCTCCCAGGCTGGACGACGTCCCTGCCCACCAGAGTCTGAGGCCTCGGCCTCAATGTTCTGGCTCTGCTTCTTCCCCAGAATGCCTCAGGCCCCGGGCCCCTTGGCCTCGCTGGCCTGTCTGCTCCACTAAGTGAGAAGGCCTCATCGAGCTCTTTCAGATGAGGCCCCCAAACCCATGTAGGCATGAGGGATACAGATTGTGGTGAGGAGGTTCTCAGGCCTATGTTCCTGCTTGAGGCCGTCCTGCTGAGCTACCCCAACCAGAAGGGAAAGTTTAGGAACACTCTGAGGAAACCCAATCTGTTCTCTCCGCAAAGCTTGGAGGCACAGCCCTGAGGGGTGGGTCTGGAAATTCGGGCATCCCAGAGGAGACCTCAGCCAATGGCTAAGCCTGAGCGGAGCCTTTAGGAGGCTGCATCTCCCTCCCTATGGCCCAAGTAAAATGCCAGCCTGACGCTGCCCAGGCCAAAGAGGGGCTTGAGCCGTGGCCACGTCCAGCCCCAGGGCTTCCTTCAGGGGGAATGTCAGCAGAACACAGAGGATCCTGGGGCTTGGGCACGATTGCCTGGCACACAGTAAGGGTTAAAAGAACAACAGCTGATCTGGGGGCAGCGCAGCTGAATGGTTAGTGTGCGGGAGGCAGAAGACCTGGCTTGGGCCTGGTGCTTTCCCTCTGCTAGCTGTGTGACCCTGGGTAAGTCACTGCCTCTCTGGCCACGGGCTCCACCCCTCGCAGGATTGTTGATGACGTGCTCCGTAGAAACAGACAGTATTAGCTGTGCTGAATACTCACTTTGATGTAACACTGAGAGGAGTCTTTTTCAGCCACAGTAAATTCCAGAGGCTTATAATACGCATGATAAACCTGAAAAAAAAAGGCTGTGGTTAAAGAATGGCCCCAATGTGGGCCCCCACCCTTGTGACCATTTACAGTCACCCAGGAGCTCACCAGAACCGCCAGCTCTGATCCAGCCGTGACGAGGAGGGCCCTTGGTCACCTGAGGTCATCGTGACAATGGCCTTTGCCTAAGGCTGCCTCTAAAGGCTCAGGGGCCCCTGGTCTCTGGAAGGCATCTCGATGGCCAACTGAATCACAACAGGCCCTGCCCAAAACTCTCCATGGCCAGAGAGCTCACTACCTCTCCAGGCAGCCGACTCCACAGTGGGATGCTTCTCACTCTTGGGAAATTTGTCCTTACATCGAGCCTAAACGTTTTCCTTGCCACGTCACATTAGTGCTCCGGTTCTGTCCTTTGGGCCCAAACGGACCAAATCCAACTGCTCTTCCAAGTGCCCTTTAAATACCTGAAAGCAGCATTCTCTTGTCCAGACTAAACCGCCCTAGTTTCTTCATGGACTCCAGGTGCTTCCCACCCTGGTTCCCCTTCTTTCTCTCTCCCAACTTATCAATGTCCTTTGTGACCTATGTCACCCAGAAATGCCCCCTACGCTCTGGATGTGGCCTGACCAGTCCCCCGGGCTCCGCATTCCTCTTAAAGCAGCCTCAGATTCTGCTCCCACTTGGAAGCTTCAATATCCAAGTTGGCATTCATCTAGATAAGGGGATGGCCGTGCCCTGGGGTATGTCGCCTCCCTGGCACTCCACGCTCCCACCACGAGCCCCAGCTTTCCTCTGCCTTGCTCCCCATTGCCTCTGCCCCTCCGCTCCTCATAGCTCATTCATCTCTGTTCTGGCCCCACTTTCCTCCCTTCCCAGACTTGACCCCACAGCTGACCAACTGAACCACACACTGTCTTCCTTGCCTTGGATAATGGGATGTATTTGAGGTGCCCACATCACATCTGGCTAGAGGTCTAAAAGGCCAGAAGAGTTCAAGAGAGGCCAGGGCGGAGTGCAGCCAGGGAGGTGGGGACATGGGGGAAGGGGTGAGTGGTCTGCACAGCAATGGTAGTTAAACCTACAAGGGAGAGTAGAGAAAGGGTGGAGAAGAGGGGCGGGGACAGCCAAAGTCAGAGGGTGCGTCAGGGACGAGGATTCTGCAAAGGATGTGCAGAGTCAGAAGTGTGAGAGCTGAAGGGTCTGGCCCCAACCTCCCTTTTCCCAGAATAATTATATATTACTCTCCTCACAGTCAAGAGCACAGACAGACTGGCCTTCCTCGTGCCCTAACTCTGCCCCTGCATGCCGCCTCATTCGTAGCATCTGCAGCTATCTACGTGTTTTCTGGACTGGAGTCTGTGCCTATGCACATCCACAGTGCCTCGCCCAACAGGCTGCAATCTCCCGGAGGGCAGGCGCCGTTTGCTGTGTTTTTTTCTTGGTGGCACTAGCACCTTGGACAGCACCTGACACACAAGAGGGGCTTCATCAGGATGGGTGAGAGGTCATCCACTACACACCAGACAGGGTGTCACCTCTATCAGAGTCGCAGAGGAGGCGTCAGACAGATGCCACCGTGACATTATGTGAAAAGGACAAAACATCTTAGCAAGCGTAGGGATACGGCCGCCTCATCCAGGCTTGGTACACACAACGGCACCCAGCAGAGTGACCTGTAAATGGCGGCTCAGCAGGTACGATGCCTGGCAGAAGCCTTTCCGCATCTTCAAAGTCTGCAGCAGAGAGAGAGAGACGCACCCCGAGTCTTTGGGGACGCAGGGGAGTCAGTCCTAATGCACACCTCTAGGGAAGGACAAAGCCACAAGGGTCCCTCGGTGGGGGTGACGGACGGGGAGGGGGTTCCTAGAAAGGTTCTTCGCAGAAGCTGCACTTGGACCGAGTCTGGAGGGAAATAAGGGTCTAAGAAGTGGAGGTGAGGAAGAAGAGAATTTCGGGCATGGGGCCAGGCAGTGCAAGGGCACGGAGCTGGGAGAAGGGTATTAGATGTGAGGGGCAGCAACAAGGCCAGGAAGGTTCGACAGAAGAGAAAGCATGCTGGGCAGAGGAGTGGGGCGAGGCTGGAGGCAGGGAGGCCGGTGAGGAGGTTGGTGGGAAGGGCCTGGACAGGCCTGCGCCAGCCTTCTCCTGCCCGACCGGGAGCTCCTGGAGGGAAAGACTGCCCAGGCCTCATCACCTCTCCTCGGGCACCCACATGCCCAATCAGTGACTGCCCAAGAAGCACCCCTGCCTGAAAAGGGCTGGTAGCCGCTTGGGGAGAGAAAAAACCCGGTGAACACTGAGTAAGTGCAAAGTGGCAGCTGGACGGGGCATGCGCCTGGGCATCAGGTATGCGTGGGTTCGAATCCGGCCTCAGACACTTTCTAGCGGGGTGACATTGGGCAAGTCACTGAACCACTGCCTGCCTCAGTTTCCTCAACTGTAAAATGAGGATAATAAAACACTTACTTCACCGGGTTGTTGTGAGGATCAAATGAGATCATATTTGTAAAGCGCTCTGTAAACACCAAAGCGCTATGTAAAGGCTACCTATGGTGGTTAGTGTTTATCATCATCGTTATTATTAGCAGTAGTGGTGGTGGTGGGCGGCGGCATACTGCTTGGCATTGGATACAAAGACAGAAGGACACGATGCCTGTTCTCAAGGGGCTTCCATTCTGCAGATCTTTCCGTCTGACTTTGACGCCCCCATCTTGTAATTGTGAAGTCAATTTCTGAAGCCTACTGAAGACTTTACATTTTCCCCTATTAAATTTAACATGAGATTTCATCCATTTTACCAGCACGCCATCTCTGCCTTTATCGGTTTTTCACCAACAGATTAGCAGCTTGGGCGGCAAAGCCCTGATCGCTGGGGCACTTCCCTCTCAGCCCTGACGTGTTACAGACACCTGTGCCACCCTGGTGAAGCCCACAGACGGACCCTTTCTTGGCAGTGTGCTCTTAAAAGCATAAAGCAAAATCCATAGGATTCCCAAGGGAACCCACGGCCCTGAAGCCGTGATCATTTTTTGAAAAGTTCCTCACTGCCTGGGAAGGAGCAGACGGCCGAACTGTAGCCAACATCGCCTTTGGGTTGTCATTCACCAAGTTCTGACTGGTGCTCCCTGGGCTGCCCTGTGGTCTCCCTCCCTCCATCTTCTCCAGCGGGGAGAGGAGACGCCATGCAGTGCCTCGTGGGCAGGATGGAGAATCCTGAGCATGTCTCCAGCCCCCCTCTCATCCAGAGCTCGGGGAATGCCCAATGGCACCAATGGGCACCAGTGAGGCTGGCTTCCCCGGGCTTGCTGAAGCCAGGCTGGCTCTCAGGGTCTATCATTTTCCTTTCTGGATGTGACTAACCACCCCTCTGGGCAAATGTACAAGAATTCTGTCAGCAATCGAAGCCAAGCTCAGCGGCCTACAACCTAGGTAAACTCTTCCCTTTTTGGAAGATGTGACATCTGCCCTAACTCAGTCCCGTGGTGGCCGTCGTGGCCTTTCCCAACCTCCTTGGGCCACGGTGCATTCCTGTGACTCTCCACTCCCCCACCCTTACCTGCATCAGCATCTTCTGTGCCCAGTGCCCCACCCACCCTGTTCTCTCTTCAGCAGATCTGAAAAGGTCCCTTCTACATTGGCTTCCTCTACAAAATCTAGGCCGTGGGTCCCCACCGATCCTTTCTGAAGTCTGCCTTCCCCAGATCGAGGGGGCATGCCACTCTGGGCCTCATTCTGTTTTCCTCTTTCTAAAAAATATTTGTTATTCTGAACATGATAATCCCCAGAGAATCCAAGCAACGGATGAGGTCTGGACACGAAGCCACAACTCCCACCATGCGTGTGCATTCTGGGCCAACGCAGTCAGCTGCCCACGCGGCTCCCAACTGTGGGCTGACTCCTCACAGCGAGGATTCGGCTCAGAACACCCACGTTCCTGTTTTCCTTCTGCCGTTTAAAGAACAAAGTTGCCCCCGGCTGTCTTCGTCCCCCCAATGTGGGGTTTCCCAAATAGACGCCTGGCTTCTTCCTCCACCCCAAGACCTCTTCTGCTGCCTTGTGGAAACATGGAGGGAACTGGGGCTTTCCAAGGCCATGTCAGAAAAAACGAGTGCTGGCAAGTCCCACCAAGCTGGAAAAACTCCCAGGACAGGCTGGGGAAGGGCCAGGCAGGTGTCTGTCATCTGAGGGCTGGCCTCGCTGGGTCTGGCCAGGGGGTGATGAGTGCGGCCCAGACTGATGAAATCGGGCTGAAGCGCTCACTCACTCACTCACTTGACAAGCACCCCCTTGGCACGGCCTTCACGGGCTGGCCAGTCCCAGGGTACTCAGCTGGTTTGGGGAGAACCACCCAGTCTCTCCCTCCTTTCACTGTTTTCATGGAAAAGCCACAGGTTCACCCCAAAGGCTCTCCCACTGCGTAGGGCTCCCAGTCGTCTCCCTGAGCCAGGGATGCCCAGGACGTTCAGCTCTCCCTGGAGCCACCAAAGGTAGTGGTCAGTGTCAGAGACAGATAGCGCCTGCCTTCAGGAGACAGCGCTGACCCACCCATGTCAGCTGGGCCCAGGCCAGCAGAATTATGGGAGAAGCCCCCGTCTGTAAGGCCCTGAGCTATGCGTGTGTGTGTGTGTGTGTGTGTGTGTGAGTATATGTGCATATACGTGTGTGTGCGAAAGGCGTCTTGGAGCCTAGGGACTCTCTAGGGACCAGATCATAGGCCACTAACTGGCCTGGAAGGAACCTCTGGGGTGCAAAGTGGGAGACGAAAAGCTAAGCGTTGCCCCCGTGGCTGCAGACTTCCTGGGCACTGCTGGCATGCCGCACCCACCCTGTCCCACCTCCAGCATCTCCATCCCCAGGCAGCCCTCAGAAAGCTGGGCCGGGGGCTCTGCTGGAGATGTGGAGGAGGGGGCGCGGGCCGTCCACACCTCTGGGGCCCGCCAGCGGAATAAACGAGCTGGATTCTCACATGTGCTGTGCAGCTATTAGCAATTAATGGAGCTTCAGAGAACATGGTTCTGACTCCAACAGTCCAGAAAGGAAAATAAACAAAGCCTGTTGGGCTGCTCCCCATCATGAAACACAAATCAACATCCCCAAATGTGGCCCAATACACTCGGCACGATCAAAGAGGGCTGGCAGACCAGCCCGCCGCGAGGGAGCCCCAGCTGTCAGGACCGCGGCACAGTGATGGGGAGGAGGGGGATGAAAGGGGACCCACGAGGTTAGGAAGCCCACGGAGCGCATGGTTCCAGGACTTGTTTCGGGCCAGACCTCTTGCTGTGGAAGCCCTGGCACAAAGTCTCCTTTCTGAGCCCGCTGCCAGATGGCGAGAGCGGCGGGGGACAATGATAGCTGCTCCCACCCTGGTCAGGGCCAGCATCTACCCACAGCCTCCCCCTCATCTGGCCAGGGACACCCAACAATCATGCCAGCCGAAAACAAGAGTGCTTATGAGTCTGAAGAATGCTCAATACACAGGATCTCATCTGATCCTCACAAAAACCCTGTGAGCGAGCTAGGGAGAGAGCCAGAAATGAGTCGGGGTGCCCTGTAAGAACCCAGATTCAGACAGGAAGAATTACAGGACCTGATAAGGATGGCTTCTGGAGCCTTTGAAGAGAAGGAGAAAAGGTGCTTCTGAAATCCAGCAACTTCACGAAAAGACAAGAAGACTAGGGTCTAGCTAGACCACAGACTCAGGGGCAAGGCTGAAAGGCTGCAAAAAGGAGACTAGATGAGGCAAAGGGACTAAACTCCTTGTCCGTGGAGGTCCTGAAGACCCAGGCTGGAGAGGCAGCCTGCAGACGGCTCCAGGAGATCCCACAGAGGGCCTATAAAGCCTAAGGGTCCTTCTCCGTTGGCCCAGTCAAAAACGGGGCATTTTTAGCCCTGATTTCAGTGGTTCAGGGGTGAGCTCAGCTCTCCGGAGTCTGTGCCTCCAGGTCTGTTCACGAGGTAGCTAAGGGAGCCTGAGAGGACTAGTGGGGGAAGCAGAGGGCTCCGTGAGAAGACCCGGGTGCTGAACCTAGCTCAGCTACATCTGACCAGTGTAACCATGGACCAGCGTGACCTCCCAGGGCCTCCGACTCCTCTGGGAAGTGAGGGGATGGGGGTAGATTCTTTATAAGGTCACTCTAGCTCCAATTATCACGGTCCTATAGACTGAGGCAGGAAGGAAGGGATGGCGGGATCTCTGGTTGCAGCTTTTGAAGGGAGAAATCTCAACTTTTTTTTTTAGTCTTTGGCTGGAAACAGAAAGGGAATCTGAGACTCATTGATAACAAAATTGGGAAGTCCTGCCCAGACCCCTATACACATATCTGATGGTGGTAAATGTAAAACTCAGGCACAAAAAAAATCAGCTTCTCCAGGATAAGACTGGGGAGGTAGGGTGAAAAAGAGGTCTGGGTGGAATGCAAGCCGATAGAGTCCCAAGTGAGATACGACTGTCTTCCGCTGTTCTAAGGGAGGCGCTGAGCCTGCCGCCAGGGCAGGAGAGGCCCAGTGCCCTGTGCTGTCAGGGTCAGAGCCCCACTGAGGGGCACTGCACGGCTAATCTGGGAAAGGCCCGGGAGGGTGACCAGCGATCAGCTGAGAAATGGGCTGTCTGGCCTGGAGAGAAGACTTAGGCAGCCGTGAAGCTGGATTCTAGGATCTGAAGGGATGCCGTGTGAAAAAGGGATTGGACTGGGTCTGTTTGATCCCAGGGGTAGAATGAGCAACAATGAGGACAGCGGCAGAGGGAAAGATTTGGGCTGGGTCTTAGGAACAACACACTCCTAATGGAGAAGTCTGCAGAAGGAGATGGGTGCCCTTGGGAGACAGTGAGATCCCTGGCCTCAGGAGAGGATGAGATCCTGGCCTCAGGAGAGGGTGAGATCCCTGCCTTGGGAGAGGGTGAGAT